GTTCAGATAAGAATCGTTGAGGTCCATTAGGAATGGACCTGAACAGATGGGAAACTTTGACATCTGAGCATTCAGCCTGCAGGTGGTGCAGCATGGCCTCTTCCAATTTGAAGAGACCCTTGTTCAGCAGGCTGAAGCAAAGAGGCAGTCCCGAAACCAGCAAAATAAGGGAGCTGGACAGGGGACAGATTGTATTTGTCTTCAGTGTGGAAGGGATTGTCACTCTCAAATTGGCCTTCTCAGCCACACTAGATGGTGTTCCAAGTCCTCCAGAGCACATTACCATAGTCTCTCGAGACTGAAAGATGCCTACTACTAAGAATCGTTATTTTGCCAGGGTTCATTATATAGGGCCTGAAAGGGATCACTAAAGAATGCCTTCCTAAACCATTTTAGATGATTTATAACACCCAGAATTCAAGGGTAATGAAACCATTTATGAATTTTCAAGATACACCACATGTTTCAGCATTATTGCAACATATCTGTGTTAGACAGCCGACACCTGCAGAGTGAAAAACGACTCTAGAAATGAAGCTGAGTTAAAGATAAAAAGCACTGTAAAGTGATCTATGGCCTAGCATGTAAAAAATGTAGTCTTACCACGTTAAATGAGAAAAAGCTGGTTACATAAGGCTTTTGATTCATTCTCCAGCCCAGAAATGACAGGACTCATATCTTTACAACCTTCTGTTCTACTAGGGATTCTTTCTAGCACCAGGCAACTATTTGAGGAATATTTTTCTACATGCTTGCCTATAGGTCCTTTTAGCTCTAATGCTCTACTGCTGCAAATGTTTGAGAAATGAGAAGGCAACTCCGTTGAAAACAAACTCTGTGACGGGCTTTTGTAGCATTTAAACAGATAATAAGCATATGTAAGAAGCAAACGTTTCAGCAGTCCGTACAGTTCTTGCCAATATATATGATAGAGGAATGTTGCATGCTGTGAATTCCCCAAAGAAAAAATTCTTCCAAATCGGAGGAAGGTAACTCAGCTTTGATGAAAAAGAAACAAATGTCTGATTGAATCTTACATTTGATTAAACACAAATATTTTGGCATTTCTATATTGGTTGAAATGGCCTCCCACCAACTTAGTACAATGGCATTATTTTTATCATACTGATAGAAAATGCAAAAAAAGGAGAGATGTTTCAAAGGGCTTGCCTGAAAGATCATAGCCAGGCAGTCTGTAGATGATTTGAATACACCCTGGAGGCATTCTAATTATACGGAGAGTTCTGATGTTGTTTTACTCAGTGTTTTACTTGTTTTGCTCTATAGCTCCTCTAATTCATATTTAATAGGCTTATTTTCTAATGATGAGTGAAAAGAGATAAACTAGGAATAGACAACTTCAGAGAGTTCATAGACCTTGTGTGTGTGTGTGTGTGTGTGTACATACAAAGAACCTCTAATGTGGTATAGTGCACTGGTTCTTAACCTTGGGTTACTCAGGAGTTTTGGACTGCAACTCCCAGAAGCCTTCACCACCAGCTGTCCTGACTGGGGTTTCTGGGAGTTGCAGTTAAAAAGCATCCGAGTAACAAAGGTTAAGAACCACTGGTATAGTGGATAAGAGTGATGGACTAGGACTTAGGAGATCTGGGCTCAAATCTCCACTCAGCTGTAGAAGCTAACTGATGAAGAGCAATAATAAAACTATCTCTTAAATGGCTCATGTACCTTTTAGAATCATTGTAAGTTGCTTGTGACACGATGGCGCATAACAAACAAAACGGTGGGCTTCCCCTTTGTTGGACCTACTGGAGAAACCAGAAATGGCTGACCAATAGGTGATTTCTGTTTTTTAAATACCTCTCTCCCCCCCTGCCTCCCACAACCAGGTTGGAAGGAGGGTTTGTTTTAGAAAACAGTTATGGCCTTCTGGAGGCACAATGCTTCTATTTTTTTGCAATTTCCAGGGGGCAAGGGAAACTCCAAGAGCTGCAAAAATGGGTGGTCGGGGTGGTGGGATGCAGCCCTGTGATTCTTAATTTTGCCATAAATTAGAATATTGTACTGTTAACTTCAGCAAATAGGAATTACAAGTTGGCTTTAAAAGGAAAGAGCACTATACTTCTGAATCTGAAGAGAAATGTTCCCACATTCTGTAAAGCAAAGCAAAGCTTAAAACACTCTCTGGGCAGTTTACAATTAATTTTGCAGGCTACACATTGCTGCTGCCCTCCAGAACAAGGTGGGTACTCAATTTACAGACCTCAGAAGAATGTAAGGCTGAGTGAACTTTGAGTCGGCTACCTGGGATTGAACCTGGATCGTGAGCAGAGATTTAGCTGCAGTGCAGCAGTTTAATCCCTGTGCCACGAGGTTCCTTTTAGAGCTAAAATCATAGCTCTGTAATATGTATTCCCTGGTCACCACTAAACAGGAACCTTTAAAATATTGTAATAATGCTTAGACACTCGAGGAACAGAATTGTTATTTACTGCTGGAAGTAATTAAAATAGCAACAATATTTTGTACAGTATTATAGCTAAACTGTAATCATTATCGTTAGTTTAGAGTTGCAAAGCTGGGAGGGCCCCTGTGGATCATCAAGTCCAGTCCTTGTCAAGGAGAAACAGTAATAATTTACAGGTGTTCTGTGAATTTCTATTGATGTGACCATGCCCAAAAATATGCTCATAAATCTAAACTTTATTTAATGCTAAAGCTTTGTCTTTTATCTTTAGTTTGGAAAGTAGTGACAAGAGTTACAAAATGGGATGTGGCTTCATTTTATCATGCAACGAAAAAATGTCCCAAAAGATACAATAAGAAAATATTAAGGGTTCCAATAGCCAGCTGAATGATTGGTTAGTTTATATTTTAATGGACTCAAAGAGTGTCCTTGATTCATTGGGTGTCATTCTAAAAACAACACCCAACACACAACTGTTTACATCCTCTGCTGACCTCCTACTGCCCTGACTGCCCCGTGGAAGGTGACTGCGGAGAGTTCTCTCCCGCCTGTCAACAGAAAGCCTTCAAGGGGAGCATTCTGTGGGGTGAGGTGGCAACACCTTTGGAGTCCCTGGATGCAAAGCCCCAGGTATCACACGTGGGTTCCAACCCCCACGTTCTTTCAGCTACACCAGCCTCAAGCGGTTGTCGTGAGAAAGAAGGTTGCCACTACCTTCTGCCCCAGCCGGCACAAACTCACAATCCTTGGGAGACACCGATTGATTTGTTGCTCTGCTGCTCCTTAGTCCTACTCTAGAATGTTCTGTAAATGCTTTAAATTAAAGCAACGGCGAAGGCCAAGTATCATCGTAAAAGAGGCACTGTCCTTGAGAAAGAATAACCTGTCTGGAGAGGATTCCTGTTGTGACAGATGTAAACTTCATCTAAGCATAAGCATTCATGGGAAATATGGAGCCATTCCATCAGTGTGAATCCTTTTATTATCTATTATCATATGTTTATTAAATTCATATCAATAAGCCATACAGCAGAACCCTGAGAAAATATTAGCTGTGAGAGTTCCTTTTCTTCGACTTGAAAGAAATGGACATACCACCACAGAAGTGTTAGTAGGATAGAAATGGAACCATCCCCACCATTCATGGGCAAGGAGGAGTGATTCAGGTAGAATCTCTTATATAATGGTGATCCCTGAGGTAGAGGCTGATGTATTCCAGCAGTTTAACACTTACTGTGACGTGATACCATATTAAAGATTCAGATAGAATCTGCCTCTGGAGCTAGTACTAATCCATTTTATGGGAGGCAGCCCATCCCTATTATTTTAAATATCACAGAAATTCTTTCCCAAATTCAATGATGCCCTGAATATTCAGAGTTTAACCCCACCATGCCCTTCAGCTCTATCATTAAGATTTAGCAGCTTGGGTGCTCAAAGCATTGACTATTTCAGGGTGTACTGTAGTAATTGAATCTCTAAATAATAAGTGACTGGCCTTTGAACGTAATTATCTATCTATCTATCTATCTATCTATCTATCTATCTATCTATCTATCTATCTATCTATCTATCTATCTATCTATCTATCTATCTATCTATCTATCTATCTATCTATCTATCTATCTATCTATCTAATAATGATGTGTGCTTTTCTGATACTTACTCCTTAGGTGTAGACTTTAGGTGAACAGCCAGGTCATAATCTTTCCATAAGACACAGCAATGTTCTTTGGTAGCGCCATAATTAATCGGATTGGGCAATGTTAGAATTCCACTAAAGAAACAATCTTTGTTTATTATTATCATTTTAAATGTGACAAATGTGAAGTTGTTGTGTGATCTAATGACAGTCTTAATTATCAATGAACCAAATGAATTTGTCCCCAAACTTGTTCTTTTTGGAAGGAGTTGTTTTTCCTTTTGTACATGGCTGGATATAGGTATTCTGCACATAATCTCATACTCTTAGTCACCCTGAATGCATTTTGGAAGGAGTTTCGTGTAGTGAATTTAATCTTGAAGTGTTAAGCTTACTCTTCAAAGTAAAAGGAAACAAATGTAGATACTTGTATCATTCTCTACCAGAGGATATCATGAAGAATGCTAATGGTATCTCAGAAAAACCAAAACAACCATGTGTGAGAATTCTCTGGTAGATCTGATTTTTAACTTCAGCTATACATTCAGGGCCCATCAGCAGTTTACACAATTACAGTATTCTCAGCTTGCCCGTTTGTGCCGCAGTGGAATTTTATGCCTCTGGATCGTTACTTGACCTGGAAAGACCTAAGATAAGTTCTCCATTATCCCTGATTTGTTCATTGCTATCAGCCAACTAGTCACCATTCATGGGGCTTCCAGTAATGTCATCTTTAGGATAGCAAAGAGGGTAATATTTGGGGATAAGACCCAGTGAGTGTCTCTAGCAGTGGATGCCATGCGTCACCAGGGTGACAAAAGTGTTAATGGTTATTCCTTGACGGGAGTATGTATTAGTATTTGGAAACTGCAAGGAGAACATTTCTTCTCTCTTGTACAGCAATGTAATAAAAAAGTCTGCGACTGTAAAAACAAAGTAACTAAAAACTTTACTTATGTTCTCAGAAGTCACACCTCCCAGTGGGAACCAGAAAAACTGCGAAGACTCTACTATCCAGTTTCATTAAACATGGTGTCAATGTTCTATCCTCCAAAAAGCCATAAAGCAATGTTTATTGTATATGTGTGTTACTGACAAAAGAAAAATACAATGCTACAAAATGTTGATTTCATCTCTTAAAGTGCCTTATTTCCTTTCAGCCTTGGAAACACTCTTCATCATGTTTTAAATGAGACAGGGCAGGAGGGAAGAATACTGGTTGAATATAAAACAATGCTTTAAAAACCATCCATATTTACAGAAGTTTTGGACTAGGGCACAAAAGAAAATATCTGCAGCTCAAAAGCAAGAACCAAAACCTAAAAATACAGCAACTCGAAAGCAAAGTGTCAAAAGGTTGTTCAGAAGTTTTCAGTATTTTCCCCTTAAGATCCCAAGTGTAAACCCATTTTATCTCTGAAAATGCATTTTACTGAGACTTGAGTAACTGGAGTTGAGTACAGCCGTACATTTAAAACTGCCTGTTCCTGTGGGTGGGTGTGCCACCTTTTGACCTCTCCCGGAAATAAGAGTATCTATTTAGACAAGTTCAACTTTTGCATTGGGATAAACAGCTACCACATCATATCCCTCTGGTGGCTTAACCCTTTCCTTCGCATGCGTCTCGCAGTACAGCTGCTCCTCAATGAAGAAGTAGCCTCTTTGCTTGAGATTGAGCCCGCAGTCATCACACATGAAGCACTCTGGGTGGTAGAGCTTGTCGCGGGCTTTCACTATTGTACCACTATCACAGTGCAAAACAAAGGAAAGGTAAAATTAGACATGCAGCCATTTAAAAAATATTAATCTTTATTCCCAGGGATGTCAGTAGTCCATTTTTCCTAAGTCCCACATTAAGAACACCTCAACCCAATCCCTCCTCCCTCTCCCCATTCATCTCCATCATATGCCCTGCTTTAAAGGGACCTGGGACACTCGATTCAGTTCTCCACCCTCCAAACGTCTCTGTTCTCCCTGGCACCTGCATGGGATGTTCTGCTGCACACTGAATTCCGTATACCATTGGGGATGCCTTGAAATAAAATTGCTATTTCTGAAGGACAATCTGATGTGTACATTCTTTCTTATGCCTTGGGGTACTCAGATGATACAATATATTAATATTAAATCCTTGAGAAACATGCTGCATAAATGCTCTCCTACTGCTTTATTTCCACCCTGCATGTCCTACTGCCTTATGGTATATATTACAGCAAGATTTTACAATGCAGCAGGTGGTGTGTTCATTATTTAGTTTTACCAAGGAGTACATTAAACAGAAAAGCTCTTGAGAAGATTCATGTACTTACACAATTCCATTGCCACATCTGGTGCACTCCGGGAGCATCTGTAAGCCAGACACAGCTCCACCCAGTTTCGATACTGGAGATTTAAGATGCCTTGGACTAGCCAGCCTGTCATGTTTTTCACCTGCCAAAAATTTAAGATCATATTTCAGCGTTATCTGTTTGAAGCATGTGGAATGTTATGAATAAGCAAACTTCTCAGTCTGATTAAACAACCAATTCTTAAATGCTACATGTACAGTAAATGGTAGGTAAGGCTGTCATGTGAATTCCTATCTCTCTTGCTCCTGGAGTAATAGAGAGGTTCTATGTCATGTTTTTCACCTGCCAAAAATTTAAGATCATATTTCAGCGTTATCTGTTTGAAGCATGTGGAATGTTATGAATAAGCAAACTTCTCAGTCTGATTAAACAACCAATTCTTAAATGCTACATGTACAGTAAATGGTAGGTAAGGCTGTCATGTGAATTCCTATCTCTCTTGCTCCTGGAGTAATAGAGAGGTTCTAAGGCTGCACTTAATGCTACATGTAGATGGTACGTAAGGCTGTCATGTGGATTCCTATCTCCCTTGCTCCTGGAGTAATAGAGAGGTTCTAAGGCTGCACTTAGGCAGTACATGTACTTGGAAATAACCCTCCTGGATATCAATGAAATTTACCCCTGAGTAAGCAAACTAAGAATAGGATTGTGATTATGACAATAGAAGCATTAATGGAAGCATGCTCTGTATGTAGAATAGGATTGTGATTATGACAGAAGCATTAATGGAAGCATGCTCTGTATGAATACAGGATGCAGAAAACCAGCAGAATCATGGAAGCTATGCTGTCTATTGCATAGAACAGTCCTTGCATAGGTGCTTGCTGGACAATTGTTGGACATATGTGCTCAGGGCACTGAATTTCTAGCCATCAGGGAATAAATATATGCCCTGAGGTCAAAGTAACTAACTTGGGAGAAGCTGGGAGAGGTGAATGAGAAATTCTCGGACATGATATTCCAAAGTGAGAGTTCTTCTACGATGACAGTCAAAAAGAGAACTGCCACTGTCATACAAATCTATGGTCCCACTGCAGATTTGTATGGAGCAACATGTACGATTCTGGCAACTTAACCTGAAAAAAGCTGTTGTAGAGATGGAAAAGGAGCAGAAAAGTAAACAAAAATGGCCAAGGGACTAGAAAAACTCTGCTAGGTGGAGAAGTTACCTTTGAGACTATTTGTCTTAGAAAAAAAAGATGTGGAAAGGGAAATATGGTACAAGTGAAAAAAGCAAGCATGCATTGTATAAATGAAGTGGATAGAGAGTTCCCCATTCTCTTATAGTACTGGAAACAGGGATCTTCCCTTGAAGCTAATGGGGGGCAGTGAGGATTCAGGACAGATCAAAGAATGTGCTTTGCACATAATTCAAAACTATGGAATTTTCTACTAGAAGATGTAATGTGTATCAACCTGTACAGATTAAAGAGAGGGCAGAATAAACTGATGGAGGGTAACCTTACCAATGGCTATTGGTCATGACAACTGTCTATACCGAACCCCCACTGCCCTGTATGTCATGTGCATCTGAATACCAATTGTTATGGAACATGATCAGATGGGTTCTAGTACACTTGGGCCCTTTGGGCAGACTCCTATAAGCATTTGGTTGGCCACTGTGTAAACAGAGTGGTGAACTAGACAGACCTTCTGCCTGATCCAGCTTGATTCTTATGGTTTTAATAGAAACATTTACAGTACTTGGAAAGGGGTGCCGTGACTGTGGCCAGTTCAATAGTCCACGTGTGTAACTGCAAGTGTGGAAGTTGGATGCTGCAATGTACAGAGGTACACTTGCCTGCCTCACACTCCAAGCAGCGACACAATCGGGCAGGCAAAAGGATATCTCTCTGTTGTCACAGCCATATCTGCAGTTATATGTGCAGAAAATTAACAAAATACTGGTTTATAAGAATAACGAGGTCATAATACATTTCGGACCATATGTGAAGTGCTTCTTACTTAAATGGATGAAACTGACTACAGTACTGACCTTTTGTGAAATTTTAATGGGAGATATTGCAAGAAGAGAAGGAAAAAGCTGGTAAGAAAGAGCAACATCTGTAAAATAAGAGAGGAGCCAAAGGTGTCACCTAGCTTAGTAAGATTTTTATATATGATCAACCCAATGGAAAAAAGCTTTAAAACCTTTTGCCCTGCAAGAGAAATAAAGCTTAGCAATAACACTGCTAAAGTGCACTTTTACTACTTAGGAGATTTATTTGCTTTTATTGTATGTCATGACTCAGGAAGAATTTTGAGACTCTGTAACATAAGAAAGACAGCATGTTAGCAGCTGGCTCGTTTTTGATATTAGGCTTTGGTTTTATATATTCACATCAAACGGGGGGGAGGGGAAGTAATGAAATTATATACAGTACAAGATTTTAATGCATCCTGGAATGTCCATATACTGCAATATTCAAGCACTTATGTACTGATCTGCACCTTCAATGCTGGCTGCTTGGACAACTGCCCATTCTAAGCTTTCCAGTCACAGCTAGAGGTGGTGAAGGACTAGTTCTGGGAATATTATTCTTGGTGAACAAAACACAGAGCTGGTTTCCTAAGTCCTGGATCTTCAGATGGAGACAGGATGCAAGAACAAAACAGAATATGGTGACTACTGGGATGAACTAAGGCACAACTGATATTAACCTACCCACCCCCAACCTGATGCTCTAACCCTGACAGTTGTGGACTATAACTCCCAGCATTCTTAACTATTTGGTCCAAATGGATGGGGCTCTGGGAACTGAGGTTCAAAACATCTAGAATGAGAAAAGCAAGAATTTAGGTTTTATGGCTCCACAGAAGAGATACAGGATGTCTGATAGAACATGATTCTTCTGGTTAGACCTGTGTAAAATACCAGCTAGTTGGCAACCTTATCATGGAATGAAACTCTCCAGCCCTCCATAGTTCCGAGTTATATTTTTCACTCAGAGTTTGGAAATGCTGAGATGAAAGTAACAACTGGTTACTTTTGGCTCTGTATTGCACTGCATCTCTAAAAAAGGTGTCAATTAGGACAACTTCATCCTGGCTTTTGTGGCATGACTCCTTGCATTCTCATCAAGGGGCTTCCCCAGCATGGAAGAGGGGTCTGTGTGTGTGCTTTCAGCTCAGCTGATGACATGCAGGTGATCTAGCACCTGGACCTCCTGCCTTATGCCATTCCAAGGCTGTTCAGTTATAACCAATAAATTGTGACAAATGATACATTCCAGCAATTTATCATTGTGTGCTTTGTTCCACTTAAGAAGTAGTGTTGATGATCTCCTATTTATAGTGACGGGAACTAAATTCTGAAGCTTCCAAACTGGGTGTGGCCAATTCCATGAAGAAGACATTTTTCATGGCTTGTTCCATTCTGTTTGGGAAAGGAAGGTGTTGGATTAGAGAAAAGACAGAGTGGGGAATGAGGAAGCATCTTTCTAAAATGCAAGCCTCTTATCCTTTCAGTCTTCTATATTCTCGTTATGCTCTTTTCCAAACCCTATTCCACTACAATCGGAATGAGTGTTTAACATATTTATTTTATTGCTTTTGAGATATATGTTGTCTATTATTATCAGGAGCAGCACAAGCTCTTCTGTTTCTTAAGGCAGAAAGAGAAGCACCACCGCCACTGTCATGATGTATTGCCCTGGGGCTGCAACACTTCCTTCTTTCCTTCCTTCTCATCAGCCACCCACTTACCCCACATGCAGTCACATTTTTGGCCACCTCTTCCCATAATGCCTTGACTAGAGAGAAAAATATAACACTGATGCTCTCCTCCTCCAATGATTCACATACAGTGGTGCCCCGCTTGACGACGATAATCCGTTCCAGCAAAATCACTGTAGAACGAAATCATTGTCAAGCGAAAGTAAAAAGCCCATTGTAATACATTAAAAACGGGTTAATGTGTTCCAATGGGCAAAATAACTCACCATCCAGCAAAGATCCTCCATAGGGCAGCCATTTTCCGGTGCCTGTAATGTGAACAACCTGTCCTGAACACAGCGGGGAGCCATTCTGCACAGCAGCTGGCCATTCTGAAAACCCGACGATCAGATGTTTTTGATCGTCATAAGTAGCAGGTGGCCATTCTGAAAACCCGACAATCAGATGTTTTTGATCGTCATAAAGTGAAAAATTGGTTCCTGAAGCAGGGAACCAATCGTCATCAAACAAAAAAACCCCATTGAAACATTACTTTGCAATCGCAAAAGTGATCACAAAAAAACTAATCATACAGCAGATTCATTGTACCTAACCATACAGCGGATTCGTCGTACAACGAGGTAATCGTCAAGCGGGGCACCACTGTATCTGGATAAGGATGAAAGTAGGCAGTGGTACGAAGAAAATTGGCAGTGGCCAGTTCAGGCAGCAGAAAATGAATGGAGTGGTGGTTGGTTTAGTTTGGCTGCCTTTGATCATTATAACACAAGTAATGGATAATTCATCTTATCACCTGGCCCAAACTCCATACTGCCTGTTCAACCATTTATCTTATTTGCCACCAAATGAAAGAAAGACGTATGCATAGATAATGTTTAGGAGTAATCTTTGCCCATTAAAAGTGCACACAAGAAAATTTAAAATCATGCCAGAATCAACAACATTCATGATTGCTTTTCCTCCCTTTGTAAGCCCTCCCTCCACCCCACATTTTTATTTCACAACTAGGCTGTGACTACATAATTTTGTAAAAAAGGATCAAACAATCACAAACATCCTTTTCTTGCTTTGTGGCTTGTGGGCTCATCTTTCATGGCTGAGAGGCACCTACCAAGGTGTTATGTGTCCTTACAAATCTGGTTAGATTATTTGCAGAAAACATTTCTTCTTTAGAGACACATGCAGAAAGGAAAGCCTAGAGCTTCCTAACCAAAGAGGGAAAATATTCTATAGATCTATGCTATTTTGATTGACAACAATGAGGTTCTTAGTGCGTTAGGGCCTGTGCATTTGTTGTTGTCATCATTACGTGCCATCTACTGGGTTTCTTACCTATGGTGACCCTATAAATGACCTCTAAAATGTCCAATTCTATCACATGCTAGGTCTTTCTCTTTTCCTGTTGCCTTAAACTCTTTCCAGCATTACGGTCTACAGTGAGTCTTCTACTGTCGCGTCCAAACTAAAATAGCTCACTTTAGTCACTTTAGCTTCTATGTGTTCACTTATGTGCTTTCAAGTCAGAACTGACTTATAGCAACCCTAACAGGGTTTTCAAAGTAAGTGAGATGTTTAAGGAGTGGTTTTACCAGTTCCACACTCCTAGTCAGTTTCCATGGCTGCGCAGGGATTAGAACCCTCATCTCCAGAGTCCTAGTCCACTGCTCTATCTGTTATTCTGTGCTGGGTATCTTTATTTGATCAGGAACCTATTTATCTTTCTGGCAGCCTATGGTTCATAAAGTTTTCTTTAAACATCCATGTATCAACTGAATCAAGATTTTCTCTATCAGCTTTTTTTGCTATCCACCTTTCATATCTGTAACTTGGATGACCTTGACCCTGGTCTCCAGTGATTCATCCTTCCACTTAGGGAATTCTTGTAGTTCTTGCGAAGCCATCCTTCCACATTTCTGTCTACTGAATTCTTGGCCACAATTAGGTGATTAAAGCAAGGTATAGAAAATCTTTTAACCGTTCATTCTAATTTCTTCATTGTTACCAGTGGAACTATCAAATTTTTCTGTAGCAATTATTTTTGTTTTCTTGATGCTCACCTATGACCCTGATTTTGTAATTTCTTCTTTATCCTTTCTCAGTACTGTTTCAAAGCATTAATGTTTTCTGCCATTAATACGGTATCATATCTGTCTCTTTCAATTACCAGTGTCTGATTTTCACATCTCCTGCCTCTTCATTTAATTCAGCACCTTTGTCAGCTGGAAACCATTCTGATTCTTTGTATTCTGTCCAAACAGGATCCTCTTCCCCAATTACAGGTTACATAGCAGGATTAATGTTGTGGCACACCATTTTTTTTCCAGCATAATTTGTAGATTTTCATGGATCACAGAATCAAATGCTTGACTGTATTCTATTAAGTCCAAACTGATTTTCTTCTGAAATACTTCAGTAGCCTATGGCTGAAATCTTACTATGCAATTACACAAATGGCATAACGTTTGGAAGTGAATGGTCATAAATTATCAGTTGCATAATGAATTGCAGAACTTGCTGTACAACAGATGTCTATGGCAACTTCCTAATGTAGGTAATCTACTTCCAAAAGTACACCATTTGCATAACTGTGCAATAGGATTTCTTCCGGTGTGTATTTGCAATATAATTTATAATGCCTTTTTCTTTTCTGAATTCAGGTTCAACATCTGCCATTTCTTGTTTTATGTACAGAAAAAGTCTGTGTTGTAAAATTTTCAGCACCATTTTGTTTGCATGGGAAATTATTTTAATGTTATTGCAACCTTTGGTATATTCTCTTTCTTTGGGATCCAAATATATACTGAACAAAATATACAAAATAGTAATCACTATTTTGCTTTCTTATTTCTTGTCATGTTCTTGTTAGGATTGTGATAGATTCAATTTCTGTAGCTGGAACTAGCTCTGTTGATATCCCATATACTTCTCGTGATTTATTTGCTGCAACTGCTTTTTACAGTTCTCTCTAACCCTATGTGCCAAATTGTTGCCTTCACAGAGTTTTGCAAGCTACTCTCCTACTTTGTTTCTGACACCTAGGTTAAATTCTTTAGCAATATTTGGTTCTCCCTTATTTCATCTTTTTGCATTCCAGTCACCTATGATTAGCAGCACTACCCTTTTGGGTGTGTCACCAGTTTTCCATTTGACACATAAAAGGTTTTCAATTTTTCTTCTTCTGTAAATGGAGCACAGACTAATTATAGCCCCTAACTGCTTGTGGTATGTTTCACCTCACTATTAAGGCAACACAAATGCCCTATTCCAGTCTAGTTTAGTTCAGTCAGAACAAGTATAATAATATTTAAAGGTTCTGCTTCTTATTTTATGGTTTCATGCTTGCCTTGGATCATACTTGTGATACTTCGCATTTTCCACTTAAATGTGTAAAATAGCACCAGACTCTCCTGTTCCCTCTATGCACCTAGATGTCCTTTCAGTTTTATCCAGTAGCTTCATTAGCAACAGTGCTATTCATGCTTATCCTTTAATCTTACCCAGTTTCTCAACCTGTGAATCTCATCTTCCAGCACCATCTCTGATGTAATTTTTGATTGTGTTATCTTACGGTTTTCAAAGTAAAATATTCAGATGGGGTTTAATACTGCCTTCTTCTGCACAGTATTAACAAGAATCAGCTTGAATGTCACTGCCTTTGACAATGAAAAATCCTCCGCTACAGTGACCTTCTTCAGCTGTTGCTCAGTAGCTGCCTTTCAAGCCTGGTATATATATCTTCTAGCAGTATTTTCTTTGTGCCACTGAGGGAGAATGGCAGGGGCATTATTTGTTGTGCTGTGAGTCAGGGTTTCCCTTGGGTTTTTTAAGCAAAAGACTATGTTTTAGATGAAGCCAGTACATTTGCCTACCTGCCACATACACACATTTCTGACAGTGGGGATGGAGTCTAGTAGGAGCTGAGACACCCCTGCATTGATAACAGATGTCCAATTTTCAGGTGAAATGGCAAGCCCTTCACAGCAATGTTCAGTGCAACTCCCCAGAACATACTAAGCTGCCTTACACGTACATTATTTGTCCTTCTAGCTAATATCAACAACTCTGACTGGTAGTGGCTTTCCAAGGCTTCACAAAAGAGTCTTTCCTAGTCCTGCTTGGAGATCTGTAATGTGCACTGGAGATCTCCCACCCTAAGCAGGGCAAACCCCATTTAGCTTCTGAAATCAAACAAGATCAGTTACATTGTGGGTATGTATGGTTGTGAACAAGATGTATTTACACATCCTATTCAATCTCTGGGGACCTTAATTACTTGCTCCACCTATGATGGTTACCCGAACAATAAAGTTTAGGCGATCATTGTGCCACTCTTGCTGGACATGGCTATATACTTTGATTGGCCAAAATTGATTTTTTTAAAAAAAGATAGAATTTTAACAAAATTAATATTAGAAGAATTGAAAAGTTGTATTCCTCACCATTTTCTCCAGCTTCCAACATTCCTTGTAGATATCGGAAAGACCCAGACTGTTTAGGTTCTGAAACAGGCCTTTCATAATCCTGCAGCATTTTGTACACATCTGAGTCCATGTCAATTCCATTTTTGTTTCTTGGTAGAGACCTCAAAGGGTCAGCACTACACAATGGAAAGTGGAAAGTTGTGAAACTATTGAATGCTTTTTAAAAAAGAGCCAGATCATCAGAGAAAGAGAAAGCCTTGTGAAGTGTCAAGCATTTTATAGTATTTTCTAATACTTTTTTTCACACAAAACCAAGAGTTTCATAACTATCCTCGAAACAAATCCCATTTTAATTTTAACAGGGATTCAGTTGATCATCCCTCCTTTTCTTGATTAGGTTTTTCTTTCAGAGACAACCCATTACAGTAGAAAGAATTGCACACTTAGCAAGAACAAACTGGTACAAATGAGAACACACTCACTCCACCTGCTGCTGTACACTACAGTCTAAGACTTTCCAGTGAACTCATGCATCAGTGACAGAGTAACTGCTTTCATTCTCTGTGCTAGGAGTTAGGATGGGACCCCAATGTGTACACCTGGGACACCTGTGTAGTATGAAAACTGCCATGTAAGACAAACAAGTGACTTGTCCCATGTTGCTGTTGTCCCATGCATGTGATCCTTCCCCTATTTTGTTCTTCAGTTTCCCTTCACTGCACAATATTTCATTTGTGTGATTCTATATCTGCAATTTACATACTTCTGTAAATGTCCCTAAGCTACTGCTGTGGGAAGTACATTATTAACCCAAGTACAGATGTCTGAACAGGATCTGCGCAGACCAGAAGAGTTCTAGTCTCAAGCCTTAATGTTTCACTTGCATGTTTGCATGCTCCCATTCACAGAAAACTTCTTTATGCCTGTTTTTAAAATGTTTGCAGCAGCACTAAGGCTTTACAGTATGCCACATGTGTGAGCTATCATCCTGTTTGCAGTCCTTCTTTAGGCTTTGTATTCTTTGTATAGATAAACATATAAACATAGGAATGTTCCATTGTGATTTTCGCCTATCTTTTGCTAAACTACTTTTTAAAAAAGTTTAACATGCTATTCAACTTAAGAGTGGTATGCTACGTAGATTGGATTCCTATATTGATACCATTATATAACTCTAGTATATAAGCATGTCAATCAGCTTTTCTGTTAGTCTCAAGCTCTTCCAATGGCAGCAAATAAAAACTTTGAGTGTTCCTGTGTGAACATAAGACTTTCGTTGCTCTGAAATCCTTTCTGCAAACAGTGCAGCCACTCACACACCCCTTCCCTTGAATAGGCTTTGCAAAAGTATCTCTCTTGTCATGTCTAGTTCGCCAGTGTACCTTTGAGGAGATGTGAGATGGAGGCTGCTCATCTGTGAGGGTAAATTGAGATTTTCTGCATTGCTGTTTGAATATAGACGGTTAGGATTACTGTACTGCAGGTTTGATGTCTGTTTATTGTCTGTTGGGTTTCCTGTAGGTGGAAAGTTTGCAGGTCTTCTGTTTGGAACAGGCCCATTATCCTAAAGAGAAGGGGAGCCAGGAAGAGAGGGAAAGAGAGAAATTTTGTAACATTGAGCAATGCCATCAGGTAACCTCTTCTGTTAAATATCACATCTCTAGCCGTAATTTGTGTGCAGCCTTTCAACTACTAACAATCCAACTTTATGTAGCTGGCAACAGGTAAATAAAGAACCAGAAGGTACAAGTTTGCTAAGGAGCAGAAAGAGATACTTACTTGAAGTACATATGACAGACTTTGTTGAATGTCTGCTATGTTTTGTTTTATTTATTTTGTTTTAAGTTGCATTTAGTTGGGTTTTGGCTAACACAAACATTTACAATTCCAGATACGAGGGATCTTCTCAGTGCTGGATTATGCAAGCAAATCCTAACGGGGCAGAGTTAGGCTTCATAAACAAGGGGACCATGGAAACTTCTTACACACGCCTTACTATCAATGTGGGACACTTAACACAGGAATAAGACACAAAATTGTGTTCTTCTGGAATGCTTACTAATTCCTATTCAGATTGGATGGGTAGCGGGGGAAAAACTTTCTTCAACTTATTTCTCCCCTTGCAACGTAACATCTCATCTATGTCCCTGTTTCTCCTTCTTCTTCTTCCTCTGAGTTCAACTTCAGGGCCAATTTTTGTCTGGCTCCAGGTACCTCCCCTCTAGTGGGAGTGGTGATGATGGAGACCAGAGAGAGAAGACAAGCAAATGGGCAGAAGTGACTGTGGAAGGGAAGTGGGCCCTCTTGCAAATGAACCCCACAATGACAACCAGGCCTGGTTGTGGAAAACTGCTGTATTTGCTTTCTGTGGCATACGTAACAGCTTCCCTGAACCTAAACTAGGCTGGGACCTCCATCATGATCTCAAGAAGAAGAAAACAAAGTTATCCTGTACATTCTTACATCTGTCTTTGCCTCGTTTTTGGCTCCTTTCTGTTTTAAGTAATCCAGGGAGTCACATTTTCCCTAGTTACCTTTAATCCTTGGAATTCTGTAAATCACTCAGTATTAAATAAAATGAGTTTTAAATCCATGCTGACTTATTTTACAAGGCTATAATTATTGCCTCACTGCTTTGTAGAAGTAAAGCTTCTGATGGGGGTGTTAACCTGATGGGGATGTTAAGATTCTTCAGTGGGGGCGTGTGAATCTTTCTCACATATACTATGCATTTGAAAAGATTTATCTATAAAGAAATGTCACTTTTGTTAGTGCTAGATGGCAGCGGCATTGTGGTGAGACAAGAGAAGGTTGTTCTGAACAGAGGAAAGCAATTTTTTACAATTTTGTGAGCTCCAAAGGAGCATGTCCCTTCAGCGGACAAGGCTACCAATTTTACATTGCGTTCCAAAGGTTACCTGATCTCCCATTTAGGGTAGCTAAACTGGTGCAAACCATATGGCAATAAAATACAAGAGGTGAAGCAATTTCAAAAGGGATGCAAAAACATCCTGCAGAATTTCAATGGCTGTGGCTCCCACAGAGTCTACCAGAACAAACTCCCCTGCGGTGAAGAGAAGTAGCGGCAGCCAATGAGCAAAAATGTTTCTGCTACTACTGTTGTAAACAGGCTATGAATGACCACCTGCATGTTGTACTGCTCAATGGGAGGCTTGTTGACTGAAGAGCACATTTCTAAAAGTACTTGCTTAAAAGAAATAGGCAGGTAGGTAGACAGACACACAGACAGATGCCTACCTAATGGACTTGCTGTAAGCCAGTGAAACGGGAAGACCAAAGGTAATCCAGTATATCTGTGAAGATTCTCAGTCATCCAGGTGAGGTTATCTGGAAGTGGAGTCATGGCAAATGGACTCCTTGTTAGGTTGAGACGTTTCACTACTCATCCAAGTAGCTTCTTCAGTCTGAGAAGAGTTGTTAGGAGTCCTCTGTTATAGCCCCCATGTTGCTTTCACTCCCCCTTGGTCTGAATAGGCTCCTTAGATGGACAAAGGACTGGGGATGGGTGAAAATCCCACTTCTGCAGTCCTTCTCCAACCACTGTCATGGGTTGTTAACAGTGGTCCTTCTACTCTGTGTGGTCCTGATCTTTCTGGGGACAGATGAAGGGCAGTGTGGTAAATAAGAGACAGATTGTATCTAAGGCCTCCACCCCTGCTGAGTGAGGGATTTTCTATATGTACATGTTTAGCCCCCCCCAATCCCCCTCTCAAATCACCTATCTTCTCAGTCTAAAATGAGTACATCTTGGTCATCAATGAATGACCTTGGTCCTTCAAATGAAGGAAAACTACTGATTGTGGTCCTGAGCCGTTGCTTCTCCTGTGCTGGACCACTCTCCTGTTTAGTGGCTGTTTGCTTTCTCCAATGTAGAGCGCCAAACACTCCTCCAAACACCACATATATTAGCCAGAAAGGCCACTGTTAATGATTGTTAACGACCCATGACAATGGGTGGAGAAGGACTGCAGAAGTGGGATTTCCACTCACACACACACACCCCTGTCCTTTGTCCATCTAATGAAAGACCAGGGGGAAGTGAAACCAAAACAGAGGCTATATCAGAGGTCTCCTACCAACTCTCCTCAGACTGAAGAAGCTACTTGGGTGAGTAGTGAAACACTTCAGCCTAATAAGAAAGAAATCCAGTTGCCATGACTCAACTTCCAGACAAAGGTAGTCCGGATATGTCACTGCATTTTTATAATGATTGCCTAGAATCTACTCTCCCTCAGTTCCTACATCCTTTTGCAAGTGAAATGCATCATCTTCTATGTACCCTCTTCTCCATGGATCATTCATCGATAACTTTCTGGCATGCTAGTAGTAACTTTGAAGATGCAGTGTTTTTCCTAATCATTATTTCCCATGCCCAAATTATCCCAAATGATAACATGTTATAACAAAATGTCCATATCCTTTTTCAGAAAAATCACCTTTCTGATTCTGCTACAGTAGGATCTTTGGTGCAGTGATTGGTAAGACACGAGATGAGAAGGGTTGACAAATCCTGCTTTAAGCTATATACAGTAAAATGTTTCAGTAATGGTACCCTGTTTCCCAGAAAATAAGACCTAACCTGAAAATAAGGCTTATTATGATTTGTCAGGATGCTCATAAGCCCTACCCTAAAAATAAGCCCCAATTAAACGAAACCACCATTGTGCAGAAACCAGAAGAATATGACATGACTGTATTTGAAGAAATATAGATTGTTGTACATGAAACAATTAAAACATCCCTTGAAAATAAGCCCTAATACATTTTTTGGAACAAAAATTAATATAAGACCCTGTCTTATTTTCGGGGAAACACAGTATGACTGTAGGCTCAAAAGAAAAAAAAAACCCTTCTGAAATGTGGTCTGGAAGGACTTTTCAGACTATCTTTCAGAATCTGAGCAGGTTTAGAGATCGGATTTGGTGCCTTAGACTGAAGTGTGTGGTTTTAACTTCCAGATTCATCATGATTTTTTAAGGGCTGTCCACTGATATGATTCCCTCTCTATATCCATTCTGTTTTTTGGTCCTGTAATATTAAACAGGAAAAGAGATGAAGACGAGAAATATATAGAAACTGTGGCTTTCAATTCTCTTTAAGAGCTTGGTACACAAAGCAAAACCAAGTGAAAATTCTAAATTTTCAAAATGTTTGGGATATCAGAGGGGCCCGTGTCAATTTGTTAGAAAAACTGAGGTGGTTCTGAGACTGTAGGCAGCCGATTTCAACTGTATCCTGTGTGGTTCACTTTGCCTTTGCTGAATGTTATAAACTAGTACATAGATTTATTTCCCTTGAACAAAACTTTCCTGGTTTGTGGTCATATTTCCTGCTGAGTCATGTCAACGAGCACACAGGGCCTTTATAACTGTAATAGCTTTGCCAGATATTTGGCTTCTCAAAGGACTGTTAAAACTGCTTGACTCTAGAGCCAAAGTCTAGATCTTTGTCCATTTCTTTCTTCCTTTTTTTGGTGAGACCCTAATAATGCATGTTTCAGGATTTATGTAACTTTACTTGTTTTGTAGATTTTGGAGAACAATGGGGGCCAGTACAAGAGCCCCGGTTTCATATTCCGAAAGATTCAGAAGAGCTCCTGCCCCAATCAACAAGATCTGGGAAGCTCAAACACTGCTACTTTTATTTTCTACTCTTTTCGGGCATCTTCCAAAAGAGTTAAGTCAGCTGCTAAAAATTGCATTTTCCAGTAACTGGTTTTGGCCTTAAATGTGACACTTCCTTTCTCAAATGTTGTTGTTTGTATCTTCCTTTGTTTAAAATAACTTTGGGGTATCTTTTAAGGGTGTAATATCTTCAACGCAGCACTCACAATAAAAACCAATTCAATTAAAAACCAACGAAAATAGTGGGAAATGCCAATGAGAACCAAGTGCTGTGCTTCCTAGCTTGAGAGAAGCTGTAGTCCAATACACAACTAGGCTGGAAATACATACTTGCTTGAAACTGGTTTCAATGCAAAAGAACTTTCACCACTTCACATAAAGGATACCTCACTATGTTTTAAAATAGTGTGCACTGGGTGCCATTGTAAAGTACAGTAGAGCTTCAGCAAGGAAGAGAGTCCTTCCTCTTCTGCAGGGCTTGCTTGAGGAGCGCAGTAGCAGTGGCATCTTTGACAGCCAGGAATTCCCCTCCTGCCACCAACATGCATCTCCTAGCCTCCACTATTGTGTGGCCACACAGAGAAGAAAGCCCCGAGGAGAAGGAAGGGCAGAAAAATACGTGCCTGCCCCACTTGTGAGCTGCTGAAGGTGACCCCCACCCACCAAGGCAAAAACAACATTGTTGGCGGCCAATGTTGTGAAGTTTTCCAGCTACTTCAGCCCTGGCTGATTAGCATTGTTTTTGCCCAACAGGGGGGAAGCCAATAGCTCCATTTTGGCCGCATTAAAACAGGTGTCTGATGGGAGCAGTTTTGCTTTGTTTTACTGATAACCCACATAAAAAGCTTACTGTGGGTTATCTGCAACATGTAGTTTCAGCCTAAGACATACAAAAAGTGCTGATAAACTCAGATGATAG